CAGGAATCATGCATCACCAGTACCAGAAAGTGATATTAACCCTCTACCAGGAAAAGCCTGGTACCTACCTCATTTTCCTGTCCATTACCAAAAGAAAAATAGTCTACGGGTGGTATTCGACGGAAGTGCTGAGTTCAATGGCTGTTCTCTAAACAAGGCGCTGTTTCGAGGACCTGAACACATGAACAGCCTCCTAGGAGTCTCACTAAGATTCAGAATTGGAAATATTGCAGTTATGGGTGACATAGAACAGATGTTCTATAAATTCTACGTTGACACACCCGATCGAAACTCCATACGTTTCCTCTGGATTAAAGATAATGACACATCACAATCAATATATTATATTAGAATATCGAATGAATGTCCACTTGTTTGGCAGTACTTCATCTCCTGCTGTTGCAACCTTTGGTTTGCGTATGATTGCAGACAACTGCAAAGATACGCATGGTGAAGACGTGGCAGAATTCATCCATCAAGATTTCTATGTTGACGATGGTATTACATCTAAACCTGATGTAGAATCTACAATTAGCCTTATTAAACGTAGCTGTGCTGCTTTAATGACGAAAAGGTTACGATTCCACAAGATAGTGTGCAATAGCATAGACGTACTTAAGGCTTTACCAGAAGAGGATATAAATAAAGACCTCAAAAGTGTCGAATTACATAAGGATGATCTACCAACCCAACGGACACTTGGAGTTCACTGGGATCTTTAGTCAGATACTCTTACCTTCCATGTAAGTCTTCCAAACAAACCATTCTCACGGCGGGGAGTACTTTCAGTCTCCCGTTCAACTTTTGACCCATTAGGTCTGGTAGCACCAGTCACCGTCGAAGGAAAAATTATGCTGAGAGAGTTAATGAAAAATACTAAGCATGGTAACAAAACCTCCCAAAACTGTTAGGATTCCCCACTTCCTGAAAGATACCTCTCTAAATGGATTGGATGGAAAGATTCCTTATATGAACTACAGAATATACAACTCCCAAGATGTTACCAACCTCCCAACTTTGGTCCAATCAAAAGAAGAGAAATTCATGTGCTCTCAGACGCTAGCGATGTAGCCATTGGAGCAGTAGCTTATCTACGACAGATAAACACGGATGGTGAACCACATGTAGCCTTCCTAAAAGGTAAATCAAAACTGACACCAAAGCGTGCAGTCTCCATACCACGGTTGGAACTCTGTGCCACAGTGTTGGCAACAAATATAGTAGAGAACATCAAAGCAGAAATCGAAAATAGAATGCCGGTGGATAGCATCATGTACTACACAGACAGCAAAGTTGTCCTTGGTTATATTTCTAACGAATCAAAACGGTTTCATGTCTATGTTGCTAACAGAGTACACAGAATTCACTTTGTATCTGATCGAGCACAGTGGTGTCATATTGATACGGACCATAACCCTGCAGACATGGCCTCTCGATCTACTAGAGCTGACCGCCTCATGGATACTACGTGGTTCACAGGGCCAGACTTCCTATGGGAAACAAAACTTATAACAACAAACAGACAACTTACTTCAACAGTCAAGGAAAGCGACGAAGGTGATCTAGAGGTTCGATGCCCAAGCTCACACGCACTTTCAAAACAGATGCCGTCATTTTTCTAGGTGGCTTGTCTTACGTAGAGCTATCGCTACCCTAATAACTAGGGCCAGACACCTTAAACTGAAGACAAATAGAACATTGCATAACAACCGAGCTGACACTAACATTCTTACAATAGACAAACTGAAGGCTGCTGACATTATCATATTCAAGGCCGTACAAGAGACATTTACCGACGAGCAAATTAAGTCACCAGACGGTCCCCTATGTAAACTTAACCCGTTCAAAGATGAAATGGTGTCCTATGGGTTGGAGGAAGGCTACGAAGGTCCGATCTTGACCTCGGAGGCAGACACCTGATACTCCTCCCTAAAGACAACCATTTCTCCAGACTGATTGCCGAATATTTTCATGACCAAGTCCAACACCAAGGCCGTCTGTTAACGGCAGCAGACTTAGGATCCGGGGGAATATGGATCATCGGAGCACACAATCTGGTGAGAAATATAATTAACAAATGCAACATCTGTAAGAGATTAAGAGGCCAACCTGTCACTCAACAGATAGCAGACTTACCCAAGGACAGACATGAATCCGTTCCCCCGTTTACAAACGTTGGTATAGATGTATTCGGACCATGGCAAGTAGTAACCAGGAAGACTAGAGGAGTGCAGCTGAATCAAAAAGATGGGCAGTTCTTTTTACCTGTCCTAGTAGCAGAGCTGTCCACATAAAAGTTATAAACAGTATGGACACATCTTCATTCATAATGTCTTTAAGAAGATTTACGTCTATAAGGGGCCCAGTGGCAAGAATTAGATGCGACCAAGGTACCAACTTTGTTGGCGCTAGAGGGGAATTCCAAACTATATTGAATGACTAAAACGTTACCAAGTTCCTGGTCTCCCAAAACTGCGAGTGGATTTTCAATCCATCACACGCATCACATTTTGGAGGAGTGTGGGAAAGGCATATTGGCATTATACGGCGCATTCTGGATACCATGTTTCAGAAGCTCGGCAAACATCAGCTTACTGACAAAGTGGAAGTTAGGACATTCATGGCTGAAGCATGTGCTGTCGTTAATTCTCATCCAATTACTACATTATCTACAGATCCGAACGATCCCTTGGCTCTAAATCCTACCATGCTGCTGACCCAAAAGACGTCTCCACTACAGACACCTCCCGGGAAATTTGTGAAAGAAGATTTGTACGGACGTAAAAGATGGCGCCATGTTCAGTTTCTCGCCGATCAATTTTGGATACGTTGGAGAAAAGAATATCTTCAGAACCTACAATACAGGCAGAAGTGGTTACAACCCAAACCGAACATTTCAGCAGGCGATGTTGTAATTCTGAAACAAAAGGATGGCCGAGATACAGTTGGCCCCTCGCCCGTGTGAAGAAAACCCTTCCGAGTGAAGATGGAAGAGTTCGTGAGGTAGAGGTGTTCTGAAGGAACAAGACGGACATTTCCCAGACCTGTTTCAGAATTGATTCTTATTGAAAAGACATCTGAAAATTAAATGAATTTAGAATTCCAACCTTTTAATAAAAGTATACGTTTCAGTATACGTTTTAGGCGGGGAGTGTGTGGATTCTCTATGTAGTTATATGAGGTACTGTGATATTATATTCGTGTAATGATTAACTACATCTTTAACATATTGTTCATTTACTTAACATTTCTCATTATTGATGTGATAATTCTTCTGATAGCTAGGTTTAGAGGCTGTTTTAGGGAGTTCCATATATACACCCCTATCGTACAATTACAGTTTCTGGAAATTAGCATTGTTTTAGCTGTTTTTAATGACCTCTTGGCACACTGGAAATGTTCGAAGTACAGCTCACTGGTATATTCTTTATTAAGATTAAGATGACTTTATATTGCTCGATCCCACAGATGCCATAGTCAAAGTAAGATTAATTTTATATTGTTAGGAATCTAAATATATATTATAACCTAAATACTAGTTTTACATGTTATCTCTAGAATTAAGTGCTGATCTATTTAGAGTTTAGACGTAGTACAGTAACTTGTTTTAACTGAGTGCACTTAATGATTACATTATGGGCCTAATGTTTATTAGTGATCTGACTGTATAAAGTATGAAAATAGCCATATAATATATTCTGTCACACAATACAACGTTGATCATTATTTTATTAATTGCAGCATTATTGTACCAGTTTTATATTATCTAGCATTGACCTAATTATAAATTATTGTCATGTTGTTTTTTAATGGTTTTGTTTCAGTTCACTGCATGAATAAAATAGTTTTGGAAACCATAACTGTGGCCATTAGTATTTATTATTGTGGTTGACGCTAACTGGCGGAATTAAGCTACACACCAAGTTACGCTTTACTGAAACCAGTACAATACATTTATACGTTATAAATACTCTCCATGCATGGTGGTATAGTATCTAATTCAACGACGAATCAAATACATCGTAGTAAAGCGTTTATGGAGTGCGATATCACTCAGTATTCGGTTCCTGAACTGCAGTTCAATTAGAAATTTACTGCAGTGAGTTCTCTGTCCTCTGATTAATCAAAATATGCATGGAGGGCGCTAAACTCGCAGCGGTAACTTAAACTCACTGAGGTAAATTTTTTTTCTGCTCTGTGATTGGTTGGAATTTGTTGCCAAGAATCTTGCTGCAGTAAGTTTAATATACCACCCAAATGCTTTACTACGATGTATTTGATTCGTCGATGAATTAGATACTATATCACCATGCATTAAGAGTATTTTAACGTATAAATGTATCACACTTGCATTTTACACCCCAAGATTCAAGATGGCATTTATTATCATATACAAGCATTAGTTGTTCGCCCATCAAAAAGAAAAAGATGGTCAGACGAAGGCTGAAAAAGGCCTATTACATCCGATTAGGTTTTTGTCTATGCAACCATTCATGCATAAATAGAGCATGTTGATTGGTCAGTTTGTCCCTGCTTCCTTTTCTTGTTGTTTTTACTGTATTTTTACACTTATACTGTCTCTTACCCTATCAAAAAGTCATACGAGACCACCATTCGTGCATACGTAAATTTTTGTGTACGAGTTCTCCAAAGTGTGTACGAGACACCGCCACCTGACGAAAACAAACTCACATACGTCATTCAAAGTAGGTAGGGTCAAAGTCCAAGCGCATTGGAGCGGAAAGATCACATGATCCGCATAACTAAATTTTACATCTCCCTCTGACCCAATATAGTGGAACATCCGTTCCAAAGGCATTGTGGGTACACAGTAAGCGATTTTACCCCATCCGCTTGGCGGCGCTATATAGAAATAATCAATATTAAACAGCAATAAAGGCGCCACTCTGGTTCATTTGTTTCCTGTAGTTTCTCCACTTAGTAAAATGTTCAAATTTTACCCCATTCGCAGGAGGGCGGATATTCCATCAATTTTAATGCAAATACGCGGAACAGCTCATTCTTCTACTATTATTTGAGTTCTTTGCTATGCTGCGACATATAAAAATACGGAAGTAGTTATAATAGTATTGTGGAAAGAACGCAATTGTTTTGTTTGTCAGTTTCGCTGTATTTTTGAAGACAATTTTAACCGACAAAATCAATAAAACATATATTTATATCATTTAAGACAGACAGGAAAATAAGGACGGCGTAAATATGTGTTCAACGAGGAACATTTTACTCCTGGTGGCAGTGCTAGGCACATTCGTGACTTTATTATTAGCAACAGAAGAACCGACATCAGCAGTGCCAGCAACGACTCCTCCTGAGCCAAGTGAGTTTTTCTTCCTAGCTAGCCTAGTCTAGGCATAGGCCTAGCCCTAGGCCTAACCTAATAATATTTGTTTTTCCTTGCTGAATATTGTTTTTTTAATGCCTTGCCTGTCTGCCTGTTTTGTCTGTGCTTGTCTGTTTTTATTTATTTAATTTTGTATTTATTTTTTATCTTTTTTTTTTCGCAGTGACTATTTTTACGATGAGTCGTGAAGATAATTATACCCAATGACAATGCTATTCTTACAACGATCGCCAGCGCATGCGCGATAGCGTCCCTTGTCGCGGGGAAAATAAGCAAGTCTTGAACTGAGCGAACCACAATGCTAAATCTAGCCTAGGCCTATCTCTAGGCCCAGAAAGGCCTACAAAATTGTTTTCGTGTTTAATTTTGTGAATGCGAATCCCCACTCGATGGCCGGTATTCTTGGAATTTTAATACCAATTATTTTTATTTGATAATATTACAATTTATTAATTGGTGATATTTTTCTCTTTTTACTGAAACAACGCAAATGGGCAATTTCATAATGCAGAGTGATTTTTTGTAATTTTTCATACTTATCAAATCCCATCAAGTTTGTTATCAAACTAAAGCTCATTTTATATAGAATTAAGATCTAAAATCAATATTTTGGTATTTCAATGGTAAAATGTGAAAAAAATGATCCAAATACATAGTATTTTTAAATTTTAAAATATAGTAAAAAATAGCTTACTTAAATGCAATTATTATGTGACCTAAAATTTGAGATTTGATGCTGTGAGATCACACTAAACAAGTACACCAAGTTTCATCAAAATCAAAAAATATGTGGTTAAAATTTTCAGATTTTTTGGGTGATTTGACATGGAATGACCCTACCATGAAATTGCCCAAATGCAAGTCGATTGGTTTGAGACACGTATTGTCATAGTTGTGTTTCCCGATTATTTGACTATGTTTAAAATGCTTAATAAAATGGAGATTTATGAAATTATAGCATGTCATTCGTTTTGCATATGATTGTTTTCTTGTTTGCTGCCTTTCCATTTACCATATCATGTTTATAATATTACATATGTATAAATAAAAATAAAATATACTGTGATTTGATGAAGTAGGGCTGCGCCAGGAATTCCCGACGAGGGGTCTAAGCTCCCCGATAAAATTTGTAGGACAATTTTTTTTTTATGGGATTTTTTATCCAGGTGTCAAAAGTACCAGAGTCGGGGAAGAGCTGGCACCACCACTGCAACCCATACGATCGTAATAGTACAGTATACAATACCTCGCACATACCGTAGCACTGCTCGCACTACACAGTTTTTAATTTGACAGCTTAGCAAGGCATGCTTAAATTGTAATTTCCGCGCTCGAGATATTTAATTTTTCCCCAACGAAACTGCTGGAAATTCCCCGACAGGGGGGGCCAAATGTCCCCGACGGGGGTCCTTTGCCCTTCTGGACCCCGCTAGCGCCGCCCCTTTAATAAAGGGGATTGACTAAAGTTCTCCCAAAAGGTTCCCACGCCCGTTCCCACGGTACTCTTTAGGTAAAACTCAAACAAGTTTTGTACTTCCTTGATCTTTTATTACCATTTTGATACATATTCTGATTACTGTTTAAAATACACCAATAAAATACACACATGTTTATTAAACATCATATAATGGCTGTTTCGGGCTTTCTTTACTTAATAATCCGGATAAATTAACTCTGATGAGGCCTATTACAGTACCTGTACTAGTTGCTTGGACCATGTACCAGCCCTCGAAATTAGGACGAAATGTCCTCGGCAAAAAATGCCGACGTAAATTAGACTCACGTCGGCACACGTCGGCATTTTTTATTGCCTGTCAACAATTATGCACCAGGCAATTACATGACCCATCGTCTATAAAGGTGTAATAGATAAAAACAATGCATAAAACGAGCTAGGCCTACTGTAGGCCTAGGACTAGTAGTAGGCCTAGGTAAGGTTTGAAATGAAGAGAGCCAACATCAGCGCGTGTATTTCATTGCAACGACACTACAACCACAACCTGCACGGCTCACAACAATCGATGCACAAGTCGCACATGTTTCATGAAGTATTTTTGGCCATCTCCAATTTGGCTATTATTAGGTTAGCGTTTGGAGAGCGCCATCACTAATCATTGGCTTTCATAATCACGTCACGCAGTAGTCCCGCCGGAGCTGAGGATAGGCATACGCTCTATATTTAGAAACTGAACTTAGCGCTTGTTCTCGGCGGCGCAAAAAGCGACTTCTGCTTTGATCGTGGGAATTTATATTGGCTGGGAAATTAAAAAAACGCTTGTAAAGCGTCGGCAAATACGTCGGCATTGCCGAATGCCGACGCTAATTTCGAGGGCTGATGTACTATAAAAATCAGAAAGAATCGTTATGTTCCCACAAACAAATTTCCACAGTACTCTTGAAGGTGAAGCAGACACATTTTTGCACGCCAGCTTCAGGAAAGTGGGTGCACTTCCACAGGGTAGATGCTAAACAGACGACTGGCGATTTTTAGGTGCAACACATGTAATAGTTAGAGAACATGTCGTGCGTGCGTTTACCTATAATTAATTAATTGTCAAAATATTTAATCCCAACACGATGGCGTGTACTTCAATACTTGTGTATGTATTATACTTTCTTATTGCATATATTTTACAAAATTCAGATATAAATGCATACTGTATTTGATTGAACAAATTAATTCAATATTGGCCTTTATTATGAAGCATTCATGAATTGAAAAGTTATGACTGTACTGTACTGTATAAAGAAAATATATTGTATACGTCATCGCACTTCACTTCTGGGACTGCTAGAAAAGAACATAGTTTTCAATACAGAACACACAGTTTTTACTATTTATTTCTTGTTTAACCTGGTTTAACAACGCTGTTAAAAGCAACTGTTATTCTTAGGGAGCGTATCCAAAGTTTTTGCTTTCGTTACCTACGTTATTACCGCGAATACCGCAAAACCCTGCTCACTTCGTTAATGAGGAGTTTCCAACTGTTGTTCGTTGAAGCGTTAATTCTCTAATGAAAGGTTCATAAATATTCTAACTCACTGGTGAATATGTAATGACTAAAGCGAAGTTCGCCTACCGCGTTAACTCCGAAGTTCTATTGTGGGGTCAACATGTACATCAAGTTAACACATATTTGGTTCCAGTATCAAAATATAGGGCAATTGTAACCTGATCGTTGTGTCGATCTGGTATTTATCAGGTCTTTTAACAAAACAATGTTTCAAGCAGTTTAAAATCAATGCAGATTATGTTAATACTGTACTGCGTACTACCGGAGAGGAGCTGTTTATACCAGTGTAGGGCCTAAAACTAGGGAGCCTACGCTAGACCATTTTTCTATGGCTAGACCGAAGTTTTTGAGAACAGTATACATTTAGCTAGGTAGTATTAGTTAGTAGTAGCATTATAGTATTATAGGACTGATTAGATCTAGCCAACATTTTTATTAGGCCTAATAATAACATATAATCTTCGTTGAATTGTCACCTTGCTCAGATTGTCATGGTCGAGCAGCGTAGCAGTAGGCCTGTAGTTAACTAGACGTACACAAGGTATTAAGGTGATTAACCTACCTACTACAGGCCGGCGTTAGATTGGTAGACATATAATAAAATACCTTTGTACAAATCGATGATCCCATATTTATTTACAGGCTATACACAGACAGCATTTTATATTATAATTAAACAACACAACACAGTAATATCAAACCGTCCGTCCTGACCGACCGCTACCAATGCTGTTACTCCATGAAGATAGGAAGAAGAACTGTACTACTGTATTTGCATTAAATAATGCTTGGCGAGCTAAGGGCACATAGAAAGAATTATTAGATTATAACTCTTTTTTTTTTTTTTTTTCAAATTGATGAGGGCAGGAATAATAGAGTAGGCCTAGGCCTATTGCATTTTTTTTAATCGAGGAGGGAGGGACTGTTTTAATTTAGCCCAATGCAGGTAGTCTCTTCCTGCTTTGGCCAACTTTCTTGATTCGTTATTGTTTGCCCAGCAACAACTAATCTAACCAATCACACCCATCGCAAGTGATGACCGCTCTTGTAATGCATGACATAAACGAGTTATTTTTAGCAGCGCAAGTCTTATTTTTGGAGAGTGGAGTCTACACGCTGTGAGTTAACGGTCCGATCAGCCCAATGGGCGGGTCTCTTTAGAGATGGACCGCGGTGTTGTCTATTTTTAGCCGCAGTTACCGAGCTGATTATTTTTAGCAAAAGTAAACAACAAGAATTTAAAAATGGCTTTGCATTCAACTTTGCTGCGACCATGTCCAGTCTAATCAATTGTAAGAGTTTGCAGTCTGCCCAATTTGGAGCCAATTTCTTTATATTTTGTGAGCAAATGTTTTTTGCAAAGACTATTTTTTATGCTGTTAAAATATATGATGCGGCAAAAAAAAAAAGTATTCACGCATCAATAGTTTTGTGACGCGGGCGGGAAGGAGTGATAATCTAATAATTTTTTCTATGTACTCTAATCGGCTGGTCTAGTTTAGAATTCATCTTATTTTCATTATTAAACATGAATATTGGATTAATTATACTATTTAATTAATTAAATTATTATCCTTCTCACTTAGGATTTCAACGGTCATATTGTACAGCTTCAACTGAAATTCATCAATCATTCTAGCGCGTGCCGTCTGCATTCTCCGGACCAAAGATTAAAATTATCCAGACACAACCATGGGAACATGTTCCTGCGAACGTTTCCTTCAGAATTCACCGCCGCAGTTACTACAGGCAACGAATACTAGTTTTGGTACTTAGCCTATATCATGTTCCAGTGAGAATCATCCATTAGATACTCATTAACAACTATTTAATTAATTAAATTTTTATCCTTCTCACTTTAATTTTAACGGTCATATTGTACAGCTTCAACTTAAATTCATCATTCATTCTAGCGTGTGCCTCTGCATTCTCCGGACCAAAGATTATAATGATCCAGACACAACCATAACATGTTCCTGGGAACGTTTCCGTCAGTATTCACCGCCGCAGTTACTACAGGCAACGGATACTATTTTTGGTACTTAGCCTATATCCATGTTCCAGTGAGAATCATCCATTAGATATTCATTTAATAAAGTTGAATAAAAAAAAATATATATTGCTTACGTTATTAGTTGGGTATAGCCTTCTATAGTTTCAGCAGGGACTTGAGTTTGAGTTTCTTTATTTAGCAAACAAGGTCATAAATAGTACAAAAACAAACATACAAATTGATTAAAGATACAAACAATAGTCATTGAAAATTTTAAAAAATTTCCAGTTTCCAGCAGTTTCCCACATTTTTATTTTAAAGTCAAGTTGGTAAAAAAATAAATAAACTACTACCATTCTATAATTTTCTGTGGAATTACTATTAATAAATTTTACAACTATAAAACAGAGAAGGATAGACGCTGTTTATTAACAATCACTCAAATAATAAGACAGGCCTACTGTACAGTATCTTTTGAAGTAGAGTAGGCCTAAATATATTTTTAATTGTATCATCCCCAACTAAAAACATATCAACACAGCCTTAAGTTGTCAGCCGGTTGTCGGTGATAGAGCATGATAATTAAGCTGATTTATCAAATGGTATTGAAACAATAGTTTGGTGTTCATAAAGGGTTAATATAATATAGAGGTCTAGATTATTGATAGGCCCCTATTTTGTTTTGCACCGAGTGCTGACAATCTTGGGAATTCCTTTTTATTCACCAGTGGTTATGTTATGATATGATTTATTGCACCTGGCTTAAGGTATTTTCTGAGTCATATCTGTAGCATTATTCGCGCCAATATTCACAGTCATACTCCAGAGGTAAAAATTATCTACAACTTATTTTTAAGACAAAACAAGAATGGGATACGTGGGCCTATGTTTCAATATTCAAGAACAAGGTGGGGGTGGGGGGGGGGAGAGAAATGCAGGTGGAAAATTAGTAATTAAAATCTCCCCCACCCACTGTCAATCCTTTACCAAATCGATTCTCCAATATTCATTGATAATAAACAAATATTGACCATACGATCACATAAATTGTATGGGTCTGAAACGTCATTATTTTCAAAATGGTTATGATAGGCCCTATACTTTTCAAAGACTGTATTTAGGCCTATACTCATCTGTACTTATTATTCTGAACGTGTTTCGCGACACCCCAAATTCCGACATCGACACCAGGCTCTGAGTGACGTCAACTGCAAATGTCATAAAAAAAAAACAAAAAAAACCAACAAAATACAAAAATATGAATTCAGAATTCACCATTTAGAAAATTTGTTAATGCAAACAATAGATATTGAATAATAATTGTTAGAATAGGATGCCTGATCGAAAGATGAGTATCACACCCACACTATCACATCATACTTCAAACACCACATAAATCAACAAAGAAATGTAGTAAAAACGTCCTCCTTCCACGACATATTTTGTTATACTGTACTGTTTTATGTAAAATAAATAATATAATTTGTGAATTAATACTCGTCATTTTTTACATAACACCTCAAAAATTACCAAAGAAACATAATTAAAACTAAGCAAAGTTTAGCAAGTTCTCCCCACACAGCGTGATGATTCTTTCCACATGGTTTTGAAACCTTTCACACATGATCAGTTTATCCCAGCCAGCATAGCACATGTTGTTTACAAAGAAGGCAAATTGCGTGCGCGGTATTTTTTTGACCGTCGTATGATTTTAATGCGTGTGGTTGATTAAATATTTGCGGTATAGTGTACAAAAACAATGTTTACGAAGCCACTGTTCGAATAAATTCAACATTAAAATTCTTAGTTGGAAATCCAGGACTACTACATTTTGTGACGAATGTTTACCCCGTTGATAATGGCTAGTCTCGTGTCTATATCTGGAAGCGTACTATTATACTTATCAAACCACTACAGTCTTTGGTGTCCAGGTACGAAATAAGTATACTTATATACCGTACTATACTTGCATGTACAACCTGGTATAACATAACATTAATCTATACTAGTAGTGTATTATGAAAGACTGCAAAAGTATTTGTAAAATTCAGGCCTCGAATTTGGGGATTTTATGGGCGAGGCCAAATGACCTCCGGTATGACATGATTTTGAAAGGCACCAAGGCCAAATAGAAAGGCACCAAGGCCAAACTTTCAAGTATAAAAGGGCACC